GAAACAGGCAACACTCAGCCAGCATACTCTCTGAAAATCCAGAGAGGAATTAGAAACCAAAGAACAAAACTCCCACCCAGACAAGACAAACCAGAATCAGCACCTAGACTACCCCAACCCCAAATGTCTACATGCCAGCGTAAGAACACAGTATCAGTCAGGGAAATGTCTCTACCAGAGCCCAGCTATCCTACCACAGCAGGTCCTGAGTAAGCACAAGAAAAAGACTATATGAAGATGATAGGGAAAACAAACAGTTGGAGGAAATGGATAAATCCCTAAAAGAGAGCCAAGAAAACACAAATAGTTGAAGGAAACAAAACTGTTCAAGACCTAAAAATGGAAATAAAAGCAATAAAGAAAACACAAATCTAGAGAATCCTTGGAATGAAAAATTTAGAAACATGCATCACCAACATAATATAAGAGATGGAAGGAAGAATCTCAGGTATTCAAGATACAATAGAAGAAATGGATACGTGGGTACTAGGGAAAGTTAAATGGCACAAAACACCTGAGATCATGAAACTTAAAAGTTTCTATAAGGCAAAGAATACCATCAGTTGGGCAAAGAGGCAGTCTACAGAATGGGAAAGAATTTTTACAAATTTCATATCTGATAAAGGTCTAATAGCCAAAACACATAAAGAACTCAAGAAACTGGATAATAAAAAACCAAATAATTCAATTAAAATGGGGGTGCAGATCTAAATAGAATTCTCAATAGAGGAATAAAAGATGGCTGAGAAATACTTAAAGAAATGTTAGGTGTCCTTAGCCTTCAAGGAAATGCAAATCAAAACTACTTTTAAGATTCTATCTTAAACCTGTTAGGGTGCTAAGATCAATATTATAAAGTGACAACCCATGCTGGTAAGGGTGTGCAGCAAAGGGAACACTCCTCCATTGTTGGTGGGAGTACAAATGTATGCAACCACTGTGGAAATCAATATGGCAGTTTCTCAGAAAATTGGGAATTGATCTATCTCAAGACCCATCTGTATCACTCACTTTTAGGCATATAACCAAATAATACTGCATTCTAACACAAGGACTCAACTTTGTTCATTGTGGCTTTATTCATTCTAGCTAGAAACTGGAAACAACTAAAGACTGGATAAAGAAAATGAGATGTATTTTACACAGTAGAGTGTCAACACTTTGGGGGCAGGGAGACAACATGAAATTGCAGGCACACAGATGTAAATAGAAAAAAAAATCATCCTGAGTAAGGTAACCCAGACCCAGAAAGGAAAACATGGTGTATATTATAAGTGTATATTAACTGGTAAGTAAATGATAACCAAGCTACAATCCACAGACCTAGATAGGTTAGATAAAGAGGATGGCTGTGGGGGGAAGCATGGATCTCCTTGGGAAGGGGAAATAGAATAAATTATGTGGGTGGACTGGGAGTAGGAGGAGGGATCAGTTGGGTAGGGATGGAGGAAGAGTGCTGGGAGGGACAGCTGGAACTGATAGACACTTTCAGGATGGTGTGAAAACCTATTCAGTGAAAACTTCTTGTAGCAAGTTGTTCTTTGTACTGCCAGCTCCCAAATAATGACACAGAGACTTTTTTCTTTTAAGATTTATTTATTGGTTATGTGTACATCATGTTTGCCTGCAGATCAGAAGAGGACATCGTATCTCATTATAGATGGTTGTAAGCTACTATATGGTTGCCAAGAATTGAACTCAGAACGTCTGGAAGCGCAGCCAATGCTCTTAACCTCTGAGCCATCTCTCCAGCCTCATGACATAGAGACTTATTAATTATGAAAGCTTGGCTGTAGCTTCTCCCACTAGCTCTTGGGTCGAGTTCTAGATAGGGTTTCTCTGTGTAACAGCCCTGGCTGTCCTAGAACTCTCTTTATAGACCAGCTTGCCTCTACCTCCTGAGTACATCACCATACTCAGCTTCCACTAGCTCTTAGAACTTAAATTAACTCATTTATTTTGACCTATGTTCTGTTGGGTGGCTCATTACCTCATTTCTCCATACTGCTTTCCCCATCCTTTTTTCTCTGAGTCTTCCCTGTCCCCAAAAGTCTCACCTAACTCTTCTGCCTAGCTATTGGCTATTCAGCTCTTTATTAAACCAATCATAGTGAAATATCTTCACACAGTCTACAATACTTGCTAAGATCTATGAGGATGACACTAGAGGGGACTCCTCATAATGGAGGATGCAGAGTCTAACCTGCTCATCTTTTGTAGAACTGGGTTACATTTGGTTGGGTTGTTGGCTGAAGAGGTCCAGTGGAGATCTCTAAACCCCGGGTGATGCTAGGACAGGTCACTCTCTGAAAACTGGAAGAGGAGCCCCATTGCCAAGGACTTCCACACACAGCACATTGACTATAGAGAGGTCAAGCTGATGTGAGCTTGCAGCCTTACCCCTACATTCTAGTCTCTTCCGTGTGAGAAGGTACTTTGCAGGCTGTGGAAAGAAACCAGGACACCAACCCAACCACTAAAATACTCACCTACAGCTTGTCCTGCCTACAGGATGTCCTGTGCAGTGGTGGCGTAGAACTTGTGGGAATGGTCAGCCAGTATTTGGTTTAACTTGAACTGGAGACTGGATAGCACAGAGACACAGCATAGAACCAAACAGACAGACTGGGGGGGGGGGGAATCAATGAAGTGCTTTCTAGTGACATTCTGTTATCAGAATGGGAGTCTCATCCAGTGTCATCATAGAGGCTTCCTCCAATAGCAGATGGCCGTCAGCCAGTGAAGAGACCCACAGCCAGACATTATTCTGAGAGGAGTCTAAATTGTAGATCTCTTCTCAGAGATTGAGGAACCCTAAGGAATAGGGGGGAAAGACTTTTAGGAGCCAAGAGGTTGGAGGATACCAGGAGAACATGGTCCACTGAATCAATTAAGCAAGGTTCACGTGGGCTCCCAGAGACTGAAACAGCAAGCACACGGCCTGCGTGGGTCTACACCAGGTCCTGTCCTGTGTGTGTGTTGTGGCTTAGCTTGGTGTTTTTGTGGGGTTCCTACAGTGGGAATGGGGACAACTCTGACTCTTTTGCGTGCTCTTGAGACTCTTTCTCTCCTAATAGGTTGCCTTTTTCAGCCTCGATATGAGAAGACTTTTGAGACTGTCTTACGTGCATCCTAATCTTGAACTCTTCATCTTGTCCCCACTTGCTGATTTCAAGGGTTATAGGTGCCTTCAAAAAGATACTTCGAAGGTTACAAAGAAGGGTTATCTTAAAAAATGGATAAAGTTGGGCTGGAAAAAAGGGCTCAGTTGAGTGTGTACTAGTCTTGCAGAGGACCCCAAAGTGAGTTACCAGCAACCATCAGAGATCCGCTGCTTCTGATCTCTGTAAGTAGGTAAGTGCAGCTGTACTCTGTGCACTTACCTACACATAGATGCACACATACATAATTAAAAATAAGCAAAAGCATGTTAATGCGTAGGGCAAGTTTCTGATTGGTTCCAAGCACAAATACTGTATCCCTTGATTATTTTCTTATTCTTCTTCCTGGGAACCACCTCATATTCTGACCATTTAGTCTCCAGTGTCTCTGATCCAGTCATTCTGAGTTTTTAAAGTCAACTCTTGGACCAGAGAAATGGCTTGGTTGGTAAGAAAGGCCCTTGAGGTCAAGACTGCTGACCTGAGTTCGAACCCTTGGTGGAAGAAGAGAATGAACTTCCATAGGTTGGTCTCTGACCCTTTCATGTGTGTTGTGGCATGTGCCTGTGTACCAGTGTTGCACGCTCACATACAGTTTTTTTTTTGTGTGTGTGTGTGTGTGTGTGTTAGCTTTTGTCTTTTTAAATTTTCTCTGTTGTTTCTGTTTTATTGCTTTCTGCTTTGTCAATTAGTTTAGACCCAGTCTCTGCAAAAGTGTAAGGGACTTTATTAGGAATCCCAAGAATGGCAGTTCAGGAAACATGGATATACATGATTCTTAATCAGAGTTCTGAGTATAGGTGGAGTGCTCTTATATGCAAACACTATTATTTTTTACACGGCTGTGGTTGTACACGCTTTAATCTTAGACCTTGGGATGTAGAGGCAGGTGGATCTCAAGAGTTCCAGAACAGCTAGGCCTACCCAGAGAAACAATGTTTCAAAACAAGGAGGAGAAACTTCTGAAATTGAGAATAGATACAGGTGTCATTTTGCCCATAAAAGTTAAAGAAGTACTTAGTGAAGACAAGAATTGCCAAGTAAGTTTCAGGGCCCTTTGAGCAGCTGCTAGAATTCTTCTGAAGGGTTTCTGAAAAGAAAGCTCATTGTTTTTATCATGATCGGTCCTTTTTGTTTTGTTGTTTTATCTGTTTGGCTTTTGTTTTTATTTAATTTAATTAACATTTTAACATTTTTTTCTTTTATATACCTACCACAGTTTTCCTTCCTTCTTCTCCTCCTGTTCCCCATTCACTACTCCTTCATCTTTTGTTCATGTTTTATTATTTTCTTCCATTTCTTTAAGGTTTTTTTTTTTTGGGGGGGGGGGATAGGACTGGCCCTTGCCTCAGCCTTCCAAGTAGCTGGGGTTACAAGCATGTACTACCACCTCCAGCATAGTTTTTTGCTTTTTTTCTTTCAACTTGGTAGCTATATACCTTTTGCTCTGTATGTGTGGGTGTAGATATTGGTATGCTTGTAATGTTGATTGGTGCCTAATGTGCATACTAAGCAAGTCATCTGTCACTGAGATGCATGCCACCCCAGCCTCCTCTTTGCATTTTGCTCTAAGGACTGCAGTATTTAACACATCTTCCGTTTTCAGAAACCTGCCCCACATGTTTATTTGTGGGGTAGATGGAGGACACATGTACCACAGCACACTTAGGAGGTCAGAGGATAACTTTTAGGAGTTATTTTTCTCTTCTATCTACCATGTGAGTTTTGGGGCTCAAATTTAACTTGTCAGTCATGACAGCAGTGCCCTTATTATCCACTGATCCTCTTGCTAGCCAAGGTTTTGAATTTTTCTCCCTATTTTCCTTTGTCTTCTCTTAGATTAACCTAACATGGCTGACCAGAGGCAGCGCTCACTCTCTACCTCCGGGGAATCGTTATATCATGTTCTAGGGCTGGACAAGAATGCAACCTCGGATGACATTAAAAAGTCCTATCGGTAAGCAGCTGTGTTCCAAGGAAAACCACAGATCCTCATCTGGTTTTGTGTATATTTTACCAAGAACCTAGTCATGTGTTTTTCTTGGCTCCTGGCAGTTGCATTTTATCCTTACATGTATAGTTTAGTCCTAAAACTTAAAACTGTTACACTGGCCATCCTGGTGGAGCATTCTTTAATCCTAGCACTTAGGAGGCAGAGGCATAAGGGTGTCTGTGTTTTGAGGCCAGGAACTCTACATGTTGAGTTCCAGGGCAGCCAGAGCTATGTAGAGAGGCCCTTTCTCAAACAAGCAAATCCTGTTAACACTGATGTTCTCTAGTGGCAAAAAAAGTAAGCACACTTGTAAGATATTGTCAAGTATCCTCAGACCACGGCATCAGGGTCTGCATCCTGGGCATTGACAGCCTTTATAGTGCTAAATGCTGTACTTTAACAGTGGTGAGAACTTTTTTTTTTTTTTTTTTTTTTTTTTCTTTTTTTGTATCCTGTCATTGACTGTTTGACTGGACTTGAAGAATATAGCTTTTAGATACAGTATTATGTGGTAACCTAGAAAGGGAGCCAGGGAATCTTCACCTTAGACACTCCTGTGGTCTTCTGTTTGTATTGTACTAGAATCTCATTATTATACACTTCTCTGCCATAACCTAATTTGTCAAATATGCAATTAGCTGGCCAGGACACTAGGGGTTGGCAGTAGGATTTCCCTTTGAAAGCAGGAGTCAGTGCATTACAAGCTGTACCCTATCCTTAGTACCTCAGGACTCTCCCTTGTGCATGTATCCTAGTGGGGGGTGTTACCCTAAGCAATTACAGAAACTTTCTTTTTCACTCTGATGAGCTAGATCTCTGGAAAGTTGAAAATTGAAATGCCAATGGGTAAGCATCTCTTTCCCTGGATTCTGATGGAGGATTGTGAAATGTAAGACCAAGGTAGAGCCAGGAAATGATTTTGGTTACAGGAAGCTGGCCCTGAAATATCACCCTGACAAGAACCCCGATAACCCAGAGGCTGCAGACAAGTTTAAGGAGATTAACAACGCCCACGCCATCCTGACAGATGCCACGAAAAGAAACATTTATGACAAGTACGGTTCACTGGGGCTCTATGTGGCCGAGCAATTTGGGGAAGAAAACGTCAACACCTACTTCGTACTCTCCAGCTGGTGGGCCAAGGTGAGGATGGAGTGGCAGTCATTGTGGGCCGCCACACTAAGGGCATTGAAAATTCTGTGCCCAGTAGACCATAGATGCTGAAAAGAGTTATGCCTCCTTGTTCTTAACATGGTTTCTGGTCTAGAGCTGTCCTCTATGTGCTGTGCAACTGGCCCATTCATGGCAGGCACAGTGCATTGTATTTTTTGTTTTGTTTTGTTTTGTTTTTTTACTTTATTTTTAATTAATTTTTGCTTTCCCATACCCCTTAGGTATAGGAAGCCTGATTTTAGCTTTTACTGATTAGTCTTCAGTCTTTATAATTTTAGAGGGAAATCCATTATAGATTTATAGATGGAAATTTAAGAGAGGGAGAGAGAGAGCCATGCCTTTTGAGTTAGCATGGGGGTCAGCTACATTGCAGACCAGCAGACAGCTGCATTGCAGAAAGTTGGGAATGAGAGAGACTTAGAGTCAGAAGCTCAGAGTACTAGAGAAAACATACACTTGGGCTCTGGCCAACATCTGGACAGAAAAGAAATAGAGGAGAAAAAAGAGAAAGTTAAGCCTTTCTGAGTTCAGAAAAGCAGGCACTCAATAGACCCTCATGGCAGCTTGTGCTTAATCCCATCTTTACAAATTACTTCTTATTCTATTTTTCTTCATCCTGCAAGTTTATTCTGTCTACATCCTTCTCCTGAATGATGCCCTTAGTATAAGCTGTGTGCTCTGTAGCTCTTGCCTGTCTTCTCTAGGGAGCTTCTTGTGTTATGGCCTATGGGCCCTTGAAGCTATACACAGTGCCAGTATTCTCTTCCCCAGGCACTGTTTGTTGTCTGTGGACTCCTCACGTGCTGCTACTGCTGCTGCTGCTTGTGCTGTTGCTTTAACTGCTGCTGTGGGAAGTGCAAGCCCAAGGCACCTGAGGGTGAGGAGACGGAATTCTACGTATCACCTGAAGACCTGGAGGCACAGCTGCAGTCTGATGAGAGGGGTGAGTACCCACCCCAGGGCCTTGTGAGTGTGTGGGGTGCAGCCAGCACTGGCCCTGAACGGTGTCAACTGTCTTGTCAAACAGGAGGGCACTGACACTGTGCCGAGAGTGTTTGTGGTGGCATCTGGGACTGTTGAGGTGTGAACGTGGACACTTGAGGTAAAGCAGGTGCAGGGAGCTGTTCCTGCCCGCAAACTGGTAGCCGTAGATCTGAGGGACCAAAGGCTGGGAGGGTGACAGGCAGGTGGGGAGGGCCGTGGGCTGGTTGACCTAAGACCACTGAGGAAAGCGTGTTGGGTGGAGGTCAGCAAGTAGCCTCTCCCCTGAGTGTCTGTCCAGGTGGCCGAATGATGTGGTGCAAGGACCGTGTCGATGGGCACACAATGAGGCCGCTGCCCTTGTGCGATGAGGCTGCCTGCTTGCTTTTCAGAGGCTACAGACACACCAATCGTCATACAGCCAGCATCTGCCACAGAGACCACCCAGCTGACGGCTGACTCCCACCCCAGCTACCACACCGACGGGTTCAACTAAATTCATGAGAGGCTGTGATTAGAGGATGAATCAGCACCTGGCCACTGCAACCTTAGAATCATGAACTGTAGTCACTGAGATGGGGAGGCAGCCGTCAACCTGACCTGCTATGGCTGGCCAGGGCCCCTCCCACCTCCTCTAAGCCCACCCATCTGTCAAACCTTGATACACGAAGTGCGTAGCATGCAGTATTTAAAGCAGTGTAGCTACGGTCTTCTTCTGTTTTATCCTTTTTTTAATAGCATGTATGGGTTATGTTCAGTGTCTGTGTTGTGGATGTGCTGCAACTGGGCTGAATTAACTGGATGATAGTGCTTTCTTGGGTTTTCAGCCAAGTGGGTCCAGTGAGGCTCAGCTGTCTCCTTGTGCTTACAGGAGTCAGGTAGGCACCTGGAGCTACTTCTCCATGTTGGCCTCTGTGTCCTGTGTCATGGTCTAGTCCATGGCTCTGATCTCATCCTCAAGGCTGCAGACAGGGTTCTGATTTCACCTGCGAAGGAGGGAGCTGGGCCCCATCCTCCCAGGCACCACCAGCATCAGTCGTTTGCACGGTGTTCGTGTTGGGAAGCTTTCATAGGGTCTCTGCATCATCGCTCGGCCTCGTGACAGTTTTCCTGTGTTAGATCTGCTATGGAGAGTGCAGGTATGCCCCTTCTGAAAGTGGGAGCACACGCTGTGTAATGTTTCCATCTTGGGTCTCCTGGCCTTGTGGACTGAGATCCTGTCATTGGAGGCATGTCCTTTGCTGGTGTTTGGGAAATCATTTGTCTCTGTTCTGCACCTTTCCAGGTCAAAAGCTGGATTGACGGGGCCACAGCCTCCTTCCCTCATTCCTGGGTCATCTTCCACATTCCTTCAAGCCAACCTTTTTAATCTTGTTTTTGGACTTTAAGAACCACAAATGGTAGCACCTGTCACTTAGTCATAGTCAAAAAGTCTTTGAGTCCAGTTCTGGGTGGCATATAGCTGCTTATAAAGAGTTTGAGTGCCCAGGATCCAGAGCCTCCTCCCTGTGCTTGTCAGAGCTCCACCCACCCCACCCCCCACTTGCCTTCGCTTCCACTTGTCATCATCAATGCCTCTGGCAGAGCTGAGGTGTTGGGTGCCTGGGGCAAGTGAGTGGTCCCTGGTGACCCTGGATCAGGAGGGTTGGCTTCTAGGGAAGCTATGGTAACAGTCATTCAACCTGGAATGCCAGTTGCAGGCCACAGAATTCCTTTGTGAACCTCTCTCTAGTCAGTATTTCAGTCTTGGTCACAGGGTACCATGGTGGGTGGAGTTGGAAAATGTGGTTACCAGGGATTTGGAACTACCCCACCCTTTTACAGTTAGCTGGATTAGCTGCACCAGACTTCAGTGAGCCAGGTTCCTCCAGAGCCTTCCTGCTGGCTGCTGCTGACCATCTGCATTTCCAGTACAGATGAAGAAGGAGAAAGCTCATGTGGTGGCTCAGTGGCTCAGACAAACCACCATGCGTTTCCGAAACCCACCCTGTCCACCTCCTGGCCACAGCTCACCAGGGCCTTCAGGGACCAGATCAGGCTGGCAGGAAGTTGCAAGAAGAGGCAGCAGACCTGGCAGTGATTGAGGGTTCCTATCCAGGTCCTGGGAAACATTGATGCCAGGGTTCCCAGCTGACCCTGTAGGAGAACTACATGAGCTGAAAGCTGGCGTCAAGATCCTTTCCCGGGTTCGTTAGTGTTTGTTCTTTAAAGAATGTAGGGATATTCATTAATATATTAAGTTAGAAATAATCTGCAAACATCAGACCTATGGCTAGATGTAGTGGGACATGCATGCCTGTAATCCCAGCAGTAGAGCGACTGAGGTAGGAGGACCCTTGAGTTGTAGGCCAGTCAGGCTTTACATGGTAAGACCCCAACTCAAGCAAACCTGGTGGAAGAAAGGAAATTCGTTACTGGACCCATTGTTGGAACAGTGGAAGAAGAGAGGCCACTGGGCAACCTGGGGTGCTGGTCTCAGTACACTAGTCTTGGTGCCCTTTTACCACAACAACCAGGAACCAGGTTCAGAGTTGTAGGCGATGAGTGAAGAGCTGATCTGGTAGCACAGCCCTCCTGCATGTAGCTCTGTGGCCCTTTCCCTCACATCCTAGTGAGCAGACCCTGGACTGGGACTGGTCGTGCTGATGGGGCGAGAGCACAGAAGTTGAACCTAGTGTCATTTGCAATTTGTAAAGCTAAATAAATCATGTTGAATTTGAAACCATCGATATGTAGAACAGTTTCAAGGCGATGATAATAGTGATTGCCAAGGCCAGTGAACTCCCTCTTCTATCCCTGTATGCAGACTCCTGCAGGGTTTTACTGTGTTGGTGTAAGGTCTCCTTGATTTCATCTGACTTGACCTAAGCATAACTGGTGAATCTCAGGATCAGCCTGATTATTCCTGACCAAATACTATTAAATATAAACACACACACACACACACAGACACACACACACTCCCCAAACTACTATACTGGTAAGCAGTGTAGATGGTGCTGTGGTGTATTGCCAAGGAAGTGCTGGAGTCTGTGCATGGAAGTTCATCCAGTGCAGTGGATATCCCTTCAGGACCAGAAACTGACCGCTTCTGAGAGACCCTGGGGACCCATCTCACCAAGACTAGAGTGTAGATTTCTGTTTGTGCCCAATGATGTGGTCTTTCCTTGTCTTCCTTTTGACTGTATTTTTAAATTACTTTAGATAATTCTGTGCAATGTTTATAACCTTTCCTAGTCTTACAATGTTTGGTTAACACAGCCAGCACCCAATGGGGAAATCAGTACTTACTGTGGTTCGCAGGAAACTTTTCCAAATTGTTGGTTGCTGGGTTTGTTCCTGAGTCATGATGCCAGTCTTTTCTCAGATGATCAGATGCCAGGTTTTACTAACATCGGTGCCCATTGTCCTGCTGACCCATGGCTTTTATTCCAGGTGAACCTTGTGCAAAGGAGCTGCCATTGTTGCAGCTGGTAGTCTCCAGAGATGGTGACCCAATCATTCAAGCTGTCCCTGGAGGGTCTAGGTGCTGTGGTACGGAGAGCTGGTGGGCCATGACCATCTTCCTCTGGCTTTCAATGCACTTTTTATTGAGGGATAGCTGTGAACAATGTAAAACATGACTGATCTCATTCTCTTCCCAGTGTTTTGAGCTGTGAACCCATGTGTCCCAGCACTGGCCTATTCTTTTATTTTGGTTGAGTTATCCTCCTATGGAAATAGCAAAAGCTACATCTTTACTATCCTCACTAGCACGGTATGTGTTGTCACATGCTGTGAGTGTGGGCTATGGTGTGTGTTGGTGTGTGTACATATGTGTATATGTATATATCACGCAGCAGGCCTGTCATGCTGCTGTTTGGTGGCAAAGCAACAAGTACAATAAAAGTCGGCTCCAAAACAGCCTGTGGTTTCTTGGAGTGTTGGGCAGGGGTAGTGTCTCTTGGCAAAACACAAAAAGAAAGCAACCCTAAGCTTATTGTGTACATATAGGTACATGTACCTGAATGCACTACATAGGCCCCGGTCAGCATTTGGTTTCAGCTATGTATGTTGGGCAAAAGGATGACCATACCAAATATATCCCTGGGGACCACACCAAACTCAACTGACCCTCAAATATATGAGGTCTAGGACATGACTAGAAAGCTTTCCTGTCTTGAAACACTAAGACCAATTTATGAACACCATTAAAATCAGTAACCAAGGTGCGTGTAAGCGGTAGCCTGGACAGGGTCTTTCTGTGACCTGAAAGGGCCCTGATCAAGTGCCCCGTAGATTGTGCTGCTGGTAGGTAGATTTCTAGGTTAGTATCTCATGCTAAGTTGGGGGAACACATTTTCACTTAAAGATAATTTTAAGAGCTGAATGCAAGTGCATGGAAAGCCTGTACTAGTTTTACCCACAATTAAAGTCTGTATACAGCAGAGTACAAGCTGCTGTCTGCCCCCTCACCCCCAGGCTAACTGACTTTGGTGTACCTCCAAGGACCAAGCTGAAAGTTGTAGTGGTTCTGCATGGTACCCTATTTAAATGTTGACCTAAAATAAAGATAGCTGTTGTAAAATAAATGTTTAAACACTGCAGACCAGATGTGTGTCTTATTAGTGATTCCTGCCTAATTCTATTCATGAATTTGGCACTGAAATGGCACATGATGTTGGCCCCTACTGGGTCCCCTGTGGGCTGAGGCCTCATTTCCTCTTTCCTGGTCTAGCTCTGAACACCCCTCCCCTCAGTTCCATCACCTCATTTCTAAATGCCTTGTCTGGAATGAAGAAAATAGCCTGTTCGCCCCTTGTACCCTGCTAAGGCTGCTGGATTTTATACACACATGTATCGGTTTGATTTGTTCTCAGGAACCAATCATCCTGGTTGGACTAAAGTAGAATCTTAGGAAGTACCTGGTTCTCATAGTACTCCCAAATTCCTCATCTGGGAAAACCTGACTGGAAGGAGTAGTCTTCATTTTCCCAGCATTAAAGTGCAGGAGTGAATGAGCCATTGGACAGAGCACGGAGACATGGGAGAGGGCTCTGTTAGCAGAGAAGGTCCTCCTGACCTCTGCATTAGTGCCTGGCTGCCCCTTGAGCAAACCACTTGCCTTATCTCCTCACCGTTGTAGGCAGGCCTCTATCCAGCAACTTCCTGTCCCCATTTCATGATATGCAGGAAAAAAAGGCACACACCAAGCTTGAATAGAGTTTGGGGGCTCCTGTTTTAGGCCCCCAGCCTACCTGTCACAGTTCAGAGACCCACACACAGTTCATATCCAATTAGTTGTCCATGTGCATATGTCTGTTGTGTCATTGGGATAGAATCAACATGACAGTAAGGTGTCTGGCAGTTTCCAGAGAAGCTCGTCTAGTAGCAGCAAGGCAGGGCTGGACATGACATTTTGGTTCTGAAAACCTGAAGCTCTGACCATCATGAAGCTGGGTCTTGTCTTCCATGGTTCAGTCCTTGCCATAACTGCCCACACAACAGCTTCTTCTGTGTCCCTTGGTAGTATAAATGTGGGAGGTTGGGAGGAAGTGGTCACAGAGGCTGCCTCCTGTAACACTCAGAACCCTAGGTAGCCCTGTCTGTCTTTAGGTCCAGGTCATGTGGGCACTGAGCTGTGTGGTTCATTTGGAAGCCCCCCCCCCTTCTTCCCTTATCTCCATCAGGCAATCAATGAATAAGCTTCAATTGTAAGGAAAGTAGAATGCAGGAATAAGAAAGTCTCGTCCCAAGGAACAGAAGCTGGACTTCTCATTCTTAACTCCTAGGATTTCTACTGCTGTGAAGAGACACGTGACCACAGAAACTCTTAAAAAGGAAAATGTTTAATTGGGCCTTGTTTACAGTCCAGAGGCTCAGTCCGTTATCATCAGGGCGAGAAACGTGGTGGCATGCAGGTAGGCACGGTGCTGAAGGAGCTGAGTTCTACATCTTGTTCTGCTGGCCTGTGTAGTGGCGTAGCTTGAGTATATATGAGACCTCAAAACCCACGCCCACAGAGGACACACTTCCTCCCACAAGGTGACACCTAATATCGCCACTCACTATGGGCCAAGCATTCAAACACATGAGTCTGTGGGGGCCATACCTATTCAAACCACCACATACACCTTGGGAAGACTGCCTCAGCCGAGCCCACCCAGAATACATTGTGCCACACCTTCATTTTCTGAAGCTTTATTTTATAAAGTGAAAACTGAGTATCATTGGTAATTTTTTTTTTTTTTAATTCAACTAAGTTAATGTGTTGTCTGCAATCCAGGAGTCTGGATAGAGAAATAAGAGTAGCTCACACTGGGAACTAACCCGTAGAGGCTATCTCTTCCTCATCACTGCCATCAGGAACTGCATCTGTCCCAAAGTAGCGATCACCAAAATTCCCTGCAAAAAGAAATGGCCTTGTGTGATTGGGTCCTCCTGCGTCACCAGCCATGCCCCTGGGCTATGACAGTCTCACCGATGCCTGGGATGATACGGAAAAGGTCATTGACGTGCTTGTCCACAGCTGTGGTGATGATTCTCACCCTCGGGAATGCATAGGCCACAGAGTGCACACCCATCTCTGCCATGAGCAGGGATAGCAAGAAGATCTTGTCCTCAGGCACATCATGGTCCTGGTGTAGCATGGGGACAGGTTAATTTCCAACACCAAGGGAACCTACCTGCAACCCACCCAAATCCACTTACCAGGAGTACACGTACAGCCATCATGGCTGCAGCACCTGTGGATACTGTGCAGTCCATCAGGATCACATGGTCATCACTAATATCCTTGGGAAGTCTCAGGTAGTGGAGCTATAATTGACAGTAAGGTCAGGGTAGGGTCTCCACTTCAGGCTTCTGAGCCCCACCCTCTCCCCGTGGGCTGGGCATCACTGTGCCCCTCAGCCCTCCCTGGCTGGACACCTCAGGCTCCCCCGTGAGCTGGTTGGTCTGGATGAGGATAGTGCCGATGCGCACATCCTTGCACACAGCACGCAGTGCAGGCTCCATGGTTTCCCCTGCACGCAGAATGGACACTCCGGTGATCTGTCAGGGAAGGGAGGCTGAGTAAGCTTTGAACTGGACGCCTCCTACCCCAGCAGCTATTGCCATCTCACCTGTTTTCCAGCGTAGCACTTCCCCACATAGTCCTGCCCCTGTGGGGTCTGTACAGTGCAGTCCTGCGTAGTGAATTGGGGTATCTATGAAGAGCCAGGGCTGAACCCACCATCATACGCTCACCTCAGGATGGCAGGACTACAACCCTTTCTCCCACAAACCCATACCTGGAAGGGTAGGAAGGACAGTGCATGCTCAATAAGCAGCCTCATCAATCTTTTGGAGTAGAAGATGAATTCATCCCGGCTAGTCTCCTTGTCCCTGGTGGTAGAATAAGCGGGCTTTAGAAAGGGACGGGCCAGAACCTGGGAGCGGAGTGGAGCAGAATTGGGAGTAGCATTCCTTAAGTGGGCCCTTACCTGATGATGGTGTGCATGCCTCGTACCTGCGGTGTACTCTTGAGGACACTCAGTGTCTGGGGAAGGGGATGGCACTGGTGAGCTGAGGCCAACGCAGCCCTAGAGATACAAATTGATTGGCATATCTTATCCAAAAGTGCTGTCTGTCCCAGAAATCATCTGTGCATCACCATGGGGGCAGGGGCATGTGCAGGGTGGGAGCTGTCTGCTGGCTAAGGCTGACCCATGAAAGATGCCTTATCACCTAAAATGCCAGGCAAAAGTGAGAGAGCTCAATTCTGAACACTGAACCCCAACCATCTCAGTGAAGATGCTGGGGGCTGAGGCAGGAGGTGTCCCTTTCCTAGGCTCAAAAAAAGTAGAGAGGCTAGACAGGGAAGAAGGGAGCTTACTGTGGGAACAGATCTCAGCCTCCAAATGGACAGCTTGTCCCCAAATTCTCCTGGGAGCAACATGTAAGCTGTAGGGTCAAGTTCCACTGAGACCCATCCCCCAGGTAGTATGCAGCCCCTCTCGGGAAGGAGGGTAAAGCAGGGAGGGCTCAGTGCCAAAGGCTACCCCACACAAAACCCAAGCCTGGAGAGGGAAGGACTTGTAAGGCAGAAGGAAGGGCTGGTTAGGGGGTACAAACAGTGATCGTGGAAGGGAGGGGTCACTGAAGCACAAGTTCAGGGGCAGGGCAGGGTGTGGGGTAGCACACATCCCAGCACAATCAGAGCTTGCTCTGCTCACATATCCCAACGCAGCTTCCTCTGCTCGCCAGGTGAAGAGCGTGTTCAGGGAGGGAACAAGGCAGGAAACAGGTTTACAGAGAGGAAAAGAACAGAGAGAAGACTTAGTGAGGAGAGCAGCCAAGTCCCTACAGAAGGTAGCCTGTAGCTACCAGCTGGCTGAAGATGAGGCGGGAGGCCGGCCGCTGCCTTGGCACTGACAGCCTTGGTGCCTGAGGGTGGAGCACCACCTACACCCAGACATCTCCCCTCCTGCTCACCAGTAACTTAAACCAAGAGGTTTAGCCACCACTTCCTTGGCTGACCAGGAAGTGGGAAGTGGAGCTGGCTGTGCCTGGAGATTTTCCTTAGAATTCAGGCTTTATAAGGGCCCTGGCACAGGTCTGTGGCATCCTGGTCTTGGTGAGGGCAAGCGGGGACTCATGCAAGGACAGGAAGCAGGGCTGTTTATTCGGCCCCGGAGGCATTTCCAACACTGGCTCAGAACTCCTGGGGTATGCAATGGGACCATGAGGGTTCCTTCCCACAGTGGCTCAACTGGATCTTCCCAGCTCTGAGGAAAGCCTGGAAGAAGGGCAGGCCCACCTACGGCTATCGCCTGGGCTTTGATCAGCAATGGACAATGACATGACGAAGCTTATCCGAGCTTCCTGGTGCAATGCCAGCATTGCTTCTTTCTGAGCTGTGCTGCAGCTCCAGGACTAAGCTA